GCGGAGCCAGGTGAGCAGCCGGCGAGGAAGGGGTTAACCGGCGGGTTCGGGAGTCGTGGCGCAGCTCCGGGGTCAGCGGTGCAGGGTGGCTGCGCTTGGAGGTGCCTGAGGGCTCGGCACCACCGGCTGCCCAAGCCCACTTGCTGGGACGGGCCGAGGGTCTCCGCCCCCCTCCCAACCCCCTTTCCCCAGCGACAGCAGCACCAGGCCACCTTCGCCTTTCTCTTGGCAAGTATTTTGGGGGTGGGGGTGGCATCCATCAAAGACCAAAGGGGCCGTTTGGATCCTTTGGGATCTGGCATCGGACTCCCACCTACAGCCTGGGCTGTGACCCAGAATCCGAGTGGGGAGTCCTTTCTGCGCGATGAGGGCGACTATAGAAAGGCCTTTGACCCGTGAGGGGCGTGGGGTGGGCGAAGGATGCGGAGGACCGCTGTCCCCCGCTCTGGGCCGTGCACCGGCCTCTGCAGGATAAAGACCAGCCGCCGCTGCAGAAGCCGCGCAGACGGGGGGAGGGGCTGGCAGTGCCAGGCTGAGTGCCCTAGCCTCCCCTGCTTATCTGTCCACCTGGGGAGCGGGCCCAAGTGGGGTGCCTGCGGCCAGAGCATTGGATGACAAGAACTCAACCCCGACAGGGCGGCCCTTCGCCTCTGGCTCCCGCAGCTGCCCGCCGACTTCTGCAGAAGGCAGTGGCTTTTGCCGCTGCAGTGAGGTGAGGGATGGAGAAGAGAAGTAGCCCTGGCTTGTTGGCAGGCAGACTTGGGGGCAGCTGGGTTCCTGCCCTAGGCCCTGGCCCCTGGAGCTTCTGTGGATGCCCCAGGGCCCTCTCTCCTCCCTGGGACTCTCCTCCCACCCCTCCCCTCCCCAGGGCTGCCTGTAGCATCCAGTGCCCAAGCCCTACAAGGCAGATCATGTGACATGGAGCTGCGAGTTCTCCCTGGAGTCTGGTTGAATACATCCTGCTGCAGTCGGCCTAGGGCAGGTTCTGTGCCCCGGGGGAGCAGTGTGTTTTGTGTGTGCAGAGATGGGGGAGATGCAGGGTGCCCAAGCCTTGCTGCAGTCGCCCTTCCCTGCACAGTGGGGGCAAAGGTAGGGAATCAGAAGGTGTAGCTGGACGCAGGGCCCAGGGGACACTGGCTGGATCCAGGGGACCAGGGGGTGTCCTGGACATGCCTCCCACATGTGGAGCCACAAGGAAAGCAGAGAGGGGAGTCTGCTGGGGCAGGAGAGAGGGGAGCCAGCCTGTGACTGTGAGGGCCAAGGCCACCTCAGGCTTGTGACAAGGGGACAGTGGCTGGAAAAGGCTTGGGCTGTCTGGGTCTATAATGGGAGGTGGGGGAGATGGGCTACAGAAGCAGGTCCCGAATGGTCGGATCTTGCCTCCCCCACCATTCCAACCCGTGCTCCAGCCTGAGCCCCACTCCCAGGGGCTGAGCGTGGCCAGTCTCCAGCCCACTGTGTCCCCTTGCAGCCTGACCCTGCTTGGCCTCTCGCTGCCCAAGCCTGGAATAAAGTGGAGGCCAGCCTGGACCCTGTCCCAGTGCAGCCCAGGGGCAAGGGGGTGTGAGAGGCATGGAGAGGTGGGAAGCCTGGTAGTGCTGTGGCTTCAGCACTGAGCCGCCTAGGAGGCTAGCAATGCCAACGCCCGCCCGGGACTACATGTTGGAGCTGGCTGCATAAAAATGTGGAGGCGGGCAGCCCCTGTCTGCCCTGTCCTGGTGGAGGCGTGGGTTTGGTTTGGGAAAGTGCATGAGGAGAAGGCAGGAGGTGCGGACGCTCCTCCCTCTCCCCCAGCCCCTTCACACTCTCTTTCTTCCCCAGAGATGGCTGGGCGGTGAGGAAGTATGGGGGCTCCCCATGGGGGGCCCTTTTCCAGAAGCTGGAGTACAAACAATGCAGAACTATAATGCCCACCTAAAGGTGGGAGTGTCAAGTCTATCAGGAGGGGGGCCTTGAAGAAAAGTCTAGCCAAGAAAAGAAAAGCCATCTACTTCCGGAAGCCCCCACCCCATTCCCCTGTAGAACCCAGTTCTCGGACACGTGGGGCCGTGAATGGACGTGGACCCCGCCCGCGGGTTTTGTTTTGCCCACGCATGCCAGGCCCCCTGCAGGGTGCCGATCTCGGAGTGTGGGGTGAGCCCAGGTCTCTAGCTGTGACCGGTCACGTGCGTGCGTGTGCTCTGGGGGCCTTGAGCGCGCCTCGTGAGGCGCCCCTGTGTGCAGAGCAGTGAGGTGAGGAGGTACACGCGCAGCCAGCACTTGGGGTCGCAGGTCCTGGAGGTATGAGCGTGTCCGTGCGTGTGGGCATGCGGCCATGAATACATGTAAGTGCACACATTCCCCGTGCGTGCTGTGCTATGGGAACCCCGTGCCCGCCAGGGCCAGTGTGTCTGCGCAGTGCTCTCCGGGGCGTGTTCCTTCTCCTGCTCCGCTGCACCGGCTCCGGGGGACCAGGCCGCTTCAGTTATGGGAGGTGGGGGGGCACCGGGCGGGAGGGAGCGGGGAGGCCCTGCCGCTGCCTGGGAGGGGCCTCCTTCTGGCTTTGGGTGGGGAGCAGCTGCCCCCTGGGCTGGCTCAAAGTCCTTTGATAAGAGCAGGTGGGGCTGACCCTGGGAAGCCACTCCCCTCTGCTCCAGGGTGTTGTGTGGCGGAGGGGGTGGGGGTGGGGGGGCCTGGTTTGGGAGGGTCTGGGTACAAGGTCCCTGACAGTGCAGTCTCAGGTCCTACCTATAGCGACCTTCATCTGCGTGCGCTGCCAGGAGCGCAGGCTAGCGCTCCCCGCAGCTCTGCCCCGAAAGCCCTGTAGTTAGCTCCGTTCTGGGAAGGTTTTCCCGCAGGGGGACCAGGGTAGGCAGACCAGGACGAGAGGGCATGCGTGCGGCCCAGTAGGCTGGGTCCCCGGCTCCGGGCACCTGCTCGGGGTGGGCCAGAGCGAGGGGGAGGGGCCTTGGTGGCTCCGCAGCCCGAGCCTGCTCTGTGGCTGCTGCGGCAGGAGCAGTGGTTGCCTGGCACCTCTGCTGTTGCCATGGCGATGGCGGAGGCGCTAACTTACTAATGAGTCCCCCTGGCTGCAAATAGCAGTGCTGCAGTGGCTAATAGGGCCGAGCTGGGAGGATGCTTTGGGAGTCAGGACGGACCAGGTAGCAGGCGGAGGAGCCCATCTGCCTGCCCTCTAGCCCTGCCCACTGCCCCCCACCTCTGGACTCCCCTCCCCGAACCACGCCCCCTCCAGGGCACCCATCCTCCAGCCTTGATTTCTGGGGCATTGCACCGCCTGGGACCCCAACTGCTCTGTACCCCCAGAGGGTGGGAGCCGGGCTTGCATGGGCTGAGACCAGCGATGATTGCAGTATCAGCTCTCGGGCCCCCTCCACAGGGTCCCAGGCCCGGGTCCCAGCCCCTGGGTCTCAGAGCCTGCCTCGTGGTCCCAAGTTCCCAGGGAAGGAGAACTCTGCCCCTCACCTTGTCAGCCTGTCACCATGGGGGTGGGGGGTGAGGGTGCCCCGAAGTATTTGAGAAATCAGACAGCAGTGGGATGGTGATGCCCCTCACTGGATGGGGACCTCCCTCAGGCCAGCAGACACCCCTTGGAGGGATAGGCAGAGACCCCTCCCTCAGCAGGCAGAGACCCCACCCTGTCATCTTTGCCTCGTGTGGTCTAACTGCCCCCACAGTGGAAAAGACCCCGAGGATACTGGGGCAGTGAGGGGGGAGGTCTGTCCACCAAACCTCATGTCTCTGACACTGACCAGGCATGCAGCCACCCAGATATTGGGTCCGCAGCCTCCAGCTGCCTGTCCAGCCAGGACAACAATAGGCCCAAGTGGGAAAGGACAGCCAAGCCGGAGGCAGGGAGGGCCAAATGGCGGGAATAGAGTGGAGTGAGACTCTTGGGGTAGCTCACCTTGTTCTGGAGCTTGGCCAGGTGGGTATGCAGCCCACACCTGCTGCTATGAGACCCCTTCCCCCCACCTCCTCTACTGTGGCTCTGGGGCCCCCAGAATTGTTAAGGGTCAAGGATGATGGATGGAACTCCAGCCTGGGGGACACTGATGTCAGGTAACTATGATGTCTGAGAACTAGGGGCCTCTCTGGGGGTCCTTCTGTCTGCCCGTCTTCCTGGATCCCACACTGGGGGCTGGGAGGTCCTGGTTCCATGGGCCCTCTTTACATGTGACCTTGCACTGACAATACTCTTAACACTGAACCTCAGTTTCCCCCATATTTAAAGCAAGCTCATCACCCTGCGGTGTGGGGGTTATGATACTTGGGGTGGGCTAGAGAAGGTCCCATCCTGGTGGGAGTGGGGACTCAGGTACTAACAGGGTGGGGTAAGGCAAAGACTGGCCCCCAAGTATATAGAGGAGGGTCTGGAGCCCACAGGTCCCCAGCATCTGCCCCCCTCTTTCTGCCATACACTCCTTAGCCCAAAGCTGGGAGGTCAGGCTGGGAGGGGCCCAGCATCCAGAGGGGTTCAGTGTGCAGACGTTCATCCCCTGATGCCCTCACCCCAGCTCACTCTGATACCCCCAGTGCTACCACCCTTGTAGGGCACCTGCTCCTCACTAGTCCTGCAAGTGTGTGGGACACTAGTGGCGACAGTGGTGGTGGCTGGGGAGCTCCGCCCAATTCCCCTCTGAGCCCCACCTGTGGAGTGCAACCCACTGTCCGCCTCCATGATCCCCCCCACTACCCCCGGCTTGTTGGGGCTCCAGGATCGTGGGCTCAGAGCTGCTGTCCACAGGAAGGCTGGAAGGGTGCTCAGGAAGGGTGGGGTGGGTGAGGGCCAACTGGCTAGTGAGAACTCAGAGCTAAGAAGAGAATTCAGGGCATGTCCTGGGTCCTTGTCTTGACCAGGGTCCTGAAGCTGAAGTCGAAGGATGAGGTCTGTATTCAAGATGGGTGTGGCATGTTCTGGGGTGTGTCTGGAACCCTGTTCTGCCTCGGCCCAGTTGGCACAGGATGGGAACCTCTTTGGGTCTGTGACTGCTTGCTGAGGAGGGCAGCACAGGGGCCTCCACAACCCAGAGGGACAAGCTTCCCCAGAAGGGCGTGCTGTTTTGTAGACACCAGTCTGACTCCCTCCCCCATGAAGCTGGTGGGACTTGGTCTTCCTAAAGCAGTCAGAGGAACCATGCTGGGTGTCCCAGCCCACCCCAGCCTTCTGAGGCTGGCCCTGCCCAGCTGACCTCCCTTTCACCCCCACAGGTCTGACACCATGCCCAGTCATTCCAAACTCTAGACCAGAACCCGGGCCATCCGACAACCCCTCATTGCTTCAGGGGTCCCTCCCTCCTGCCACCCCAACTGCCCACTATGGCTGGGGACCGGCTCCCACGGAAGGTGATGGACGCCAAGAAGCTAGCCAGCCTGCTGCGGGGCGGGCCTGGGGGGCCACTAGTCATCGACAGTCGCTCCTTCGTGGAGTACAACAGCTGGCACGTGCTCAGCTCCATCAACATCTGCTGCTCCAAGCTGGTGCGGCGCCGGCTACTGCAGGGCAAGGTCACCATCGCCGAGCTCGTCCAGCCTGCCTCTCGAAGCCAGGTACCAGTCAGGCCAGGCAGGACCTCGCCTCCTCCGGGGGTTCCCACCTCCTCTGGTGCCCCCACATCCTCCAGGAGCTCCCAGCTACCTGCAGACCCCTCACCCCGGAGCCATCTGCCAGTCCCTCAGCACTGCATGGATGCCCCCTGTGGGATACCCCTCCCCCAGCATTGACTCTGTCGGGTTTGCTCTCAGCCCCCCAGGGGTGCCCTCATGGCATTTGTGCCCCACATCCCTGGCCTATCGGGGACACAGAATAAATGGGGGTGAAGTGGGTGTGACAGCAAGGACCCACACACAGGGTGCAGGCTGCCGTGGGGCTTGGGCAGGGCAGATGCCCATGGGGGACAGGACTGCGGAGTCGGTCGCAGGCCTTGGGGAGTGGCCCAGGGGTCCACGGAGCCGCTGTGTAGTCACCACACAGCTAATGCTCACATTTGCCTGCGGTAGGCTTATCGAGGGAAACCACAGCGCTGCTGTCCACCCAGTGCAGACCCCAGCCAGGCTCGCCCATCTTTGAGGGCGAGTGGCCCCCTTGCTTCCTCAGGAAAAGCTGGGAGGGGGGTGGGTGTTCTAGGGTCCTCTCTCTCTGCAGAGCAGAGCAAGGTCACACGGTCTGATTTGACCTTGGTCACGTAGTGTGTCGGAGAGGACTGTGCTGAGTAAACGTGCTGCGCTGTGATCCCTCGGCTGGTGGCGCAGACGAGGTTCATAGACCAGCTCAATGGCCTACTTAGCCACCCCTCTGCCTTCCCGCCTGGGGGCTTCCGTGGCTCCCAGGGACATTGGAGGTTAATTTGGGGGCTGCTGCGACTGTTGAAAGCCAGTAGTCCCTCCTTAGGAGAAGGAGGAGGCTTTCTGCACCAGCCATAGATTGCGGTCCGGAAACCCTGTGAAGCATTTTACTCTGTCCTCTGGGATCAGTGGGAGTCGGCCTCCACTGTACCACAGTGATGGACGCTGAGTGGAGGTCTCTGACACACACACACACACACACACACACACACACACACACACACACACTGGGGGAACCCCCAGAGACAGCAAATTCTGTTCTGGGAAGGGACCACCAGGACAATGGGTTTGGAAGGGGTGCGCCCCCCTCCCCCACTGCCTCCCCAGCCTCAGGAATGCCACCTCTATGGCCTGGGGGCCGGGGAAGGACGGGAGGTGGCACCGGGTGGCTTAGAGGGAGAGCCGAGGTCTGCGCGCGCGCGCGGACCCAGGTGGGGCAACCCTATAGGCGCCCTCCCTCCCCCACCCCCCGCCACAATCCAGCAGAGCCGCTCCAAGGGCCCCCAGGCAGGGAATCCGTCCAGTGATTAAAGGGCCAGAGAGGACGCGGCCAGAGAGCGTTCCCATTGGCTGCCGGTGACATCATCCGCGGCTGGCAGCGGGGCTGCGCGTGCTGGGGGCGGGGCCACAGCCCTCCTGAGTAGTCTACTAGGCATCCAGCGCCCCGTGGCCCACACAGATCCCAGGGGAGGGGAGTCCTGCTTCCAGCGCTGTCTTCTGAGCAAGCAGCCGCTGGGGTTCTCCTGCAGCCTCAGCTCCCCCCATCACTGCAGGGGGGCTGGGAGCGGGGCTAGCTCAGTTGCTGCTGTCCAGGTGTGGGGGTACCAGGCAGGTAAGGAGGCTAGTGCCTGCTCTGGCCCTGCCCACAGGAGGCAAGGTGACAGCTCCTTCCCCTGGGCCGGTGGACATGGGCAGCAGCAGTGCGGGGTGGCCGAGCCCCTGACCTCTGTCCGCATGGCCCCCAGGTGGAGTCGGCAGAGCCCCAGGACGTGGTGGTCTATGACCAGAGCACGCACGACGCCAGCGTGCTGGCCGCGGACAGCTTCCTCTCGCTGCTGCTCAGCAAACTGGACGGCTGCTTCGACAGCGTCGCCATCCTTACTGGTGAGTCCAGGTCCCTGGCATGGTCAGGAGGAGGGGGGCCACAGTTGGTACCACTCTCCACCATCCTGCCCCCACAGCACCCCAGATCTTTCTCCTCACCCCCCAGCCTCCACCGGTCCTCCCCTGGGCCCTCTGGTGGAACCAGAAGAAGGGAGTTAGATGGAGGTATGCACCCCTTCCAGACTCCAGGCCTAGTGGCGGTGTCCCCCTGCCATCTGGAAAACTCCTGCTGACACAGAGTTCGGCCGGTCCAGGGAAATCCCCAGAAAAACTGACTCAGTCCCTGCCATTCGCCTAGCAACAGCCTAGCCAATCACAGCTGCCGCCAGAGGATGAGCAGAGCCCGCCACCCCCCCACCCCCATCTGACCCATTCTCCAAAAGCACCTGGCCAACCAGCCCTGCACAGACACACGCACATGCACACATGACACACACACGTGCACACACACACAGACACACACATGCACACTCCACACACACACCCACACACATGCACACTCCCCACAAAGATACACACGCACGTGCACTGCATGCTCACATGAGCACACACAAACATACTCACGCACACTGCCCACAGGAGCACACGGACTCAGTGAGGGTTCTAGACAGTCCTATCCTAGGAGAGCCACATGGGGGAAGCTTCCGTGACCCCAACCCCCAGACGGCAGGAGCCTGGTGGGGCTGGTCTGTCTTGGAGCCAGCAGGGATCTGGGGCATACATGCCAGGTGAGGGTGGGCATGGGGGACGTGGAGATGCTATCCCAAGCCCTCTCCCTCACGGCAATCAAGTGCTGACCCCTCACACCTGTGTCCTAAGGCTCAGAGGATCCTGGTCAGACATCAGGGGCTAGGGGGTCACTCTGAGGCAATACCCCCACCAGGCAGACCCAGGTGAGCCAAGTCCACCAGGAGAGAGAATGCAGAGGGGAAGATGTGGAGGAAGGGCAGGGGTGAGGCTGGGGTAGGTGCCAGATTTCAGACAGGGGTCAGTGCCAGTGCAAGCAGACAGACAGCCTGGAGACGGGGCTGGGAGGGTCCGCAGGCCTGACAGGTCAGCAGAGTGGGTTTGCTGCAGGGGACAGGGAGCCTGCCGTCGGTTGCGGTAGCTGGCAACACTGTCGGCCTTCTCCCTCCACCTGGGGCCCGAGCTCTGCATGCAGGGCCACCCAGCCCTTACCAGCTCGCATGCTCCTTGGCTGTTGGGCCCGTGACCCCAGCCTTGTGTCCTCCCCTCCTGTCTCTGTCACTTCTAGAGATACCACTCATGGGGGGAGCATTAGGGCCCCCCTGTACCCCCTCCGCCCAAACCCCTACAGGGTCCTAGTTCCAAACAAGGTCACCTTCACGGGGGCCAGGGCCAGGACTCGGGTGTGTTTGGGGACCATTCGCACCGTGACACTGGCTCTGTCTGAGACTGTCTGCCACGGTGAGGGTGGTGACGTCACTGGACTTGCCCATGGTTTCTGGCGAGAGTGGAGACAGAGGCCACCCTAAATCAGCACTAGTTCTTTTCCTTGGCACACAGGTCAGTGGGGTGGCCAGATGGGACTCTGTACCTCTCCTTTGGGCACAATGTATGACACCCCAGTAGAGGTATGTGAGCATCTGGGCTCCCTCCACCAAGTCCCCAAGGCCACCACATTCTCCTGCACCTCTCTCAGCCAGGGCACACCTGGGCCCTCTGCAAGCTTGCCTCGCCCAGACGCGTGCACACAGACATGTACAGGACCACCTTGTGCTCATATACACACACAGACACGCACAGGACCAGCATGCACACAGACAGGACCACTGTGTACACAGACATGCAGAGGGCCAGCATGCTTGTACACAGGGCCACCACATGCACACACAGAAACAGACATGTACACAACCACCACACACAGGTGTACCGGACCATGGTGCACAACATGCACACACAACCCAGGTGGGGAGGCACAGACATGCACACTCATGCTCACAGAGCCATGTCCAGGGCCTCCGGCCTATGCCCTCTAAGACCAGACCCATCAAGGGCTGGCCACCCACTCAGATGGCAGCTCAGCGGGCAGTGTGCGCACAGGCCACCCATTTCTGCCCTCTCCCTCCTCCAGAGGGAGCCCCCACCATGGCTGTCACTTGAGGGAGGGTGCTCAGAAGCCTTGGGGGGCCCCACCACCACTCCCCTCCCCTCCTGGCCTCCCTGTCCCTGGTGAAACTCAACTACACTAGCCAAGCAGCTCAGAGGGTGGGGCACAAGCAAGGGAGGCTGGAGGGGTGTGTCTGGGTCTCTGCTGGCCCCACGCCCCCCAGCCCTGGACACCCAGCTCATGCTCAACCCCTGCTGTCAGGACCAGGAAATTCTGGGAGGGCACCTCCTCCATGCCTCCCCAGCCACTGCCACTGCCTCCACTCCCCAGCTGGAAACCTCAGGGTCCAGCTCCCATGGGGCCTCAGGGTGCCCCTTCAGGCATTCTAATGGGAGGTACTCACAATTTGGCCCTGGAGTGTGGTCAAGAATAAAGATGGGGCCCAAGGTTTCTCTGTCTTTGGGGTCATTGGGCCCCTGGTCACTGACCGCCTCAGAAGGACAGGGTAGAAACAACTTTTGGGGTCTGAGGTCCGAGCACCACCCTCCCCGCACCCACCCCTCTGGTGGGTGGTATCGTGGCCTCTGTGTGATGCATGAGACCGGCTGTGCTTGTGGCCGGCGGAGCATCACACGCATAAGGACCACCTGTGCCCAGCAGTGTGGTCAGTTTGCGGCGCCGCCTCCCTCACGCTGCCCAGGGACTGGTGGATGCTCGGTGCTGCCAACCAGTTGATTGGAGCCACAGGTCACTCCCAGCTCCAGGACCAGCCCTCCGAGTCTGGCTGGCTGTGCCAGCCCTGTGACAAGACCACCCACAAGCCCCTTGCAGTCAGAGGACACACTGGCTATGGGACATGCCTGGGACTTGGACCCAGTGGATAGGTTCCTTCTGCCCCACCTGTGGGCTAGGACACCTGCATCAGTAGGGGGAAGCCACAGGCAGAGCTGGCCCCACTGTACCCTGTGTGGTCCCTGTCCCCAGGGTGGACTGTAGCCAGAGTCACAGCACAGATGCCCCTGCAGGCGATGCCAACCCCAGGGGGGTGATGTCATTCAGGGGGAGGGGCCCTCAGAAGCCCAGGCCTCCTGGTCCTGGCACGTCAGTCCGGCCCGGGGCCCCTGCCAGCTTACGGCCAGAATTGCATCAGCGCAGGTGCAGGAAGCACGGCCTGGCCGCTGGCCACAGTGTTGGGAGCTGGGAGACAAGCACCGGCCGGGGCTACATGAGCCAGATTCCCACTCAGGACCCTGGTGGTCAGGGCCCCACGCCTGACTGCCCTGCCACCACAGCCACTTTTATGGGCATTGGCCATGGCATCCTCAGCCAGCCCCTAATTAGTCAGTGGAGTCGCCTGTGGGTAGGCAGCAGTGTCTACATGTGAACACTGGCAGGCTGCCTCTGCTGGAGGCACTGTGGCTGGAACCCGGCTCTGCGGGGAGGGGGGCCACATTGGGTCACCTGTCACAATGGCCTCCCTCTGACCACATGCTCCGTGGCCCCCTCCCCTGCAGGTGGCTTCGCTACCTTCTCTTCCTGCTTCCCCGGCCTCTGCGAGGGCAAGCCGGCCACCCTGATGCCCATGAGCCTCTCCCAGCCCTGCCTGCCGGTGCCCAGCGTGGGCCTGACCCGCATCCTGCCTCACCTCTACCTGGGCTCTCAGAAAGATGTCCTGAACAAGGTGTGTGGCCACCAGGGGCTCTGGTGGGAGGCAGGGAGCTGGGGGCTGAGCTGGGCCGTGGACAGGAGCAGACTGGGCTGGAGGGGGACCCACAGGGGCTGGGGAGGGCCGGAGGGGGCTGGGCTGCGTGACAATGGAGTAGGCATGCCCCACTGCTGATGTCACCGGGCCCCTGGCCAGCCCTGAAATGATCTGTGTTTTAAAATGGTGAGGAGGGAGAAGGGATTCGTAGGGCTCCCTCTGGCTGCCCCCAAGGCCTCCTGTCCACCCTCCCCGCACCCAGGACTGTGGGCGGGGACATAGCCAGAGACCTTGGGAGGGAGGGGTCTGTGGGTGTCAAGAGGGGCAGAGCTGGACTCCTGACCAAGCCCCCACACACGTCATGCCTGACCCAAGCTGACCTAGCATGCTTCTCAGGTGACTCACGGCGCGCCCCTACACAGGGAGCAGTCAGTCAGCCCAAGCCTCAAGTTCCTGGGTCCTGCCCAGCTCCACAGAAGAAGGTTTCTCTCCTCCCTATAACCCTCCCCCGTTCCCTTCCTCCTCCTGCTTCCGCTCCCCAGGATTTGATGACCCAGAACGGTATAAGCTACGTCCTCAACGCCAGCAACTCCTGCCCCAAGCCAGACTTCATCTGTGAGAGCCACTTCATGCGCGTCCCCGTCAACGACAGCTACTGCGAGAAGCTGCTGCCCTGGCTGGACAAGTCGGTGGAGTTCATCGGTGAGCGAGGGGGTGTGGCCACAGCTGTGGTGTGTACTCATCCTTTCGGGGAGCCAGCAGGGCAGTCTGCCGTGTGCATGTGCATGGAGATTGAGTGTGCAGGAGTAGGAGGGGCCTGCATGGGCACATGTATTCATGTGTGAGTATGGTAACTAATGTGTGCACACACTGTAAACCCTAGTGTGCATATATGCTATATGTGTGTGTGGCTGGGCTGTTCCTATCTGTGAGTATGCATGTACATGTGGCCAGGATGTACGTGCATGTGTCACAGCTATGTCTGTGTGGTTCATGCACACGTGTCCATGTACTGAGCGTGTGCATGCATGTGTAGGAGTGGCCAACATCAGCCCATGTAGGTGTGTGTACATACTGTGTGTCATCTGGTGTGCACATATGCTGTGTATATGTGGAGGGGGCTGAGATGCCTGTGTATGAGTGTGCACATGTGTATGTTTATCAAGCTTGTGTGTACATGTGTAGGAGTGGCTAGCATGAGCTCATGTGTTTGTATTCGTGTGTGTGCCGTAGTTGTATAGCCTGATGTGGGTGCATGCTGTATGTACTGGGATGTGCACATGTACATGTTCTGAGCTGGTACATGCATGTGTAGGAGCGGCCAGCATCAGCACATGTATTTGTGTGTGCACATGTAGGGGGTGGCTGTGCACGCACTGTGTGTGCCCGGTGCGTGTGCATGCTGTGTGTGTGTGTGCAGCTGGGGTGTATATGTGTGTGTGCCTGCATACCCATGAGCGTGCGTGTGTGTGTGTGCGCTGGCACACACGCAGTGTCCCCCAGAGGGCAGCTGCTCCTGCCAGAAGAAGGTGAGGCACCCTGAGAAGCAGCTGGGGACTTCGCAGGAAGGGGGTGGGTCCCCTAAGGCTACTGCCTTGGTAAGGAGGGGCATTGGAACCCCAGGCCTCCCACACACCACTGCCAACCTGCCCCTAGATAAAGCCAAGCTGTCCAGCTGCCAGGTCATCGTCCACTGTCTAGCCGGCATCTCCCGCTCTGCCACCATCGCCATCGCCTACATCATGAAGACCATGGGTTTATCCTCAGATGAGGCCTACAGGTAGCCCCCCATCCCTTCGGGCCCTTCCTCCGTGGCCACCTCGCTCCCCTCCTCCCACCCCCGGCCAGGGTTGGATGCTGGGTGTGGGACTCACTCAGGGGCAGAGACCGGCAGGCAGGGCCCTGCCTCACCCTGACCACCCTGCCCCCAGGTTCGTGAAGGACCGGCGCCCCACCATCTCTCCCAACTTCAACTTCCTGGGCCAGCTGCTGGAGTATGAACGCAGTCTGAAGCTGCTGGCCGCCTTGCAGGCCGACGGGACGCCCCTCCCGGGCCCCTCAGCCCCTCTGCCACCGCCGCTGCCACCACCTACCTCAGAGAGCACCCCCGCCGCCGCCCCCGGAGTCTGGGAGGGCGCGCCCGCCACAATCGGGGAGCCCCTGGCACAGGCCTCGGCCCCCGCCACCAGCGCCCTGCAGCAGGGCCTGCGAGGCCTGCACCTCTCCTCCGACCGCCTGCAGGACGCCAGCCGCCTCAAGCGCTCCTTCTCGCTGGACATCAAGTCGGCCTACGCACCCAGCCGGCGGCCCGACGGCCCCGAGCCTCCGGACCCAGGAGAGGTCCCCAAGCTCTACAAG